GTAATTCAACTTGACCCTTTTGACCCCCTCTTTCCGAGCCAATGTTGAACCCCTTGGACCCACTTTCTCGGACTTTTAACCACATGGTTGTGTTGTACACACATAGGGGTACCTCACCAGTAGCTGGCCGGCCAGAAAATCTCATTGACCCTTAGCCGGCCGGCTAGGGGGTGTGGCCGGCCGGCCACCTGCAACAAAAGTGATAGGCCGGCCGTGTTCCTTGCACTGTGCACTTTACAGCTGTGGGGCAATATCCCCCAGACAAGATATTTATCCGGGGGATATTTTGTGGGGGAGTTTTCCTCTCATTTTCCCCCACCTTTACACCCCTCCTTTGGCCTATATAGCAAGCAAACCTTGTTCTTTGTTGGGGTTAGAAAATTTGCTCTTCAAGTCTCCATACTCAACTCCATCTCCATAGCTCTCAATTCTTCAAAAAACCCTAAGTCCCTAACCATCATTCCTTCTACACCACCAAGCTCTACCACCACCATCTCATTTCCAGCAACAAGGAAGGATTCTCAAAGGCTAAAGAAGCTCAAGGATTGTCTAAAGAGGGTGGGAATGTCATAAGGAGGTATCTGGAAACTCCAGCATTGAGTAGATTTTTACTCTTTTCATATTGGCCATTTATCATTTTTTCATTTAATTTATCATGGTCAATTTTTTTACACTTCTTAAAAAATAGCAAAATATCTCTTTAGGTTAGGTCAAGATTACCAATATGCCCTCATGGAAAATTTACCAAAGTACCCTTTTGTAATTTCCATTTTGCCTCTAAGGGGCCAAAAATACCATTTTACCCTTTAAGGTTCCATTTACCATTTTACCATTATGCACAATTATCAAAATGCTCCTAAGTATCCAAATTATAAGTTTGCCGTTTAGCCCTAACATTACCATTTTATGCTTAGTGAGTCAAAATTATCATGTTGCTCCTAATATAATAAAATCCATCATTTAGTCTAATAAAAATAAATTAAGTAACTAAGGCATAAAATAGCATAAAAGTAAAACTAATAAGCTAATCTAGCTTTAAAATTCATAGAAATTTCAAAACATATCTAAAATCATGTCATCTTTTAAATATATACACAAATAATTATAAGTTATCCTAAAATAAAATTATTCCATTTTCTCTACCCTTTAACATTTTTCATTTATTTCCAAAAATTACAAATTGCTCAGAAACTACATTTTTTCATTTCCTAACATGGGTTCATATTTTTGGAAAACAATAATATTCTCTTTAGAGAAACTTTAAACCAAACATTCAAGAGAGCTTCAAAACATGGAGAAAATGGATTTCTTAACTAAAAGTTTTAAATCATGAAATAAATTCAAAAATACCCCTAACATACTTATATATAGAAAGAAAGTGGAATATCTAAACCAAAATTGGAGAAAACCCAAGCAATGGAGATAAAAGAGGAAGATAGAAGTTCCAAGCAACTTCAAGCTCCACTATCTTCAAAAATGCCTGCCAATGCTCCAAGGGCACGCTCAATCAGCTCTCTAAAACCCACTAAACACTCACCAAAGCTCTCTAATCACCAAGGAATGGTCAAGTTACTAAGGTAGGAAATCCAAACCCCTAAACCTCTAGCAATGGTGTTAGGAAACAAAAATCAAAGGGAAGAGAGGGCAAGGGTACAAGGGTAGGGGAGTTGTGCTTTTCTTCCAAAAGATGACTTGAAACTCTTCTTAAAAAACTCTATTCCAATTAGTTGTTTGTTGTTGATTGCAAAATTACCTTGGTTTGTCCTTAGGAAGCAATAATATTAAGTTGCATCAATAGCTTATATTTAATGATTTATGCTTCCACCTTGGATGTTCTTTCATAAGTTATTGATGGAAACTCTACATTTTTATATGTGTATGATTTATT